CCGAGAACAAACATTCTTTGAAGATTAACTACAAACCTTAAACACTATTTGGCGTTCATGGAACTTGTTTTATCGAAAAATAAACCTTGTAATAAAGAAAAAGTAAATACCATATTGTTAGCTGTACCTGAAAATCTGGGAACATCTGTTGGAATCGCGAAATTTACTGCTGATTTAATTTTGAGGAAACAAAAATATCGCTACTTGGGTCAGAAATTTGAATGCTTTTCCAATAAGATTACTTGGTAGGACGAAATTATGGTAACATTAATATTTCTTGCAGACAACAGCGAGCAGTTTGGGACAAATCCGTCTTCTGATCCAGCGTGTATTGTGGTGATGCGTTTTCCCTTATTTGAAGGTCTTCTGAGTGTTTTGAGTGGAATCAACCCATCCTTTGGACACAGCGTGGTGTGTATCGTGTTTTCAGTTTATCCAAGAAAGGAACAACTTCGCTTTGATAAAGATAATATGTTTTGCTTTTTATTAGGTCCTGATCGCTATTGTCTATACGTTGAGTTTGTTGCTTTTCTTCAATTCGCCAGTATCAATAATATCCCTTATCGACGATATTGACGTTTTAACTTTTTCGAAGCGCACAGTAAACAGGATTATTTAGTACCGCCACAAATGGTCAAAAGAAATATAATATATATATATATATATATATATATATATATATATATATATATATATATATATATATATATATATATATATATATATATATATATATATATATATATATTCTCACGTATTGATTCACGGATGGAAAAATGTGATGACACTATATTCCGGGATATCATCCGTTCGCTCGTTGAACTCCGACTGGAATCCTGCAAATCCTGCATCCGACTGGAATCCTGCAGACGTTTCGCCAAAATCTCACTTGGCATCTTCAATGCTCGCGCTCCGAAAACACTCCACACCCCAGTGTTCGAAGTGTTTTCGGAGCGCGAGCATTGAAGATGCCAAGTGAGATTTTGGCGAAACGTCTGCAGGATTCCAGTCGGATGCAGGATTTGCAGGATTCCAGTCGGAGTTCAACGAGCGAACGGATGATATCCCGGAATATAGTGTCATCATATATATATATATATATATATATATATATATATATATATATATATATATATATATATATATATATATATATATATATATATATATATATATATATATATATAATAAATATACCTGGCCCACTCAAGTAAGAATATTTTTTTTTCATGGCTTTGCCCAATAACAATAGCTAATAATATCATTAAAGCTTTGTTGTAGAGAATGATGAAAATTAAAACAGACTGTACCTATTGGACAGATTTCCGTAAAAACGGTTAGGTAGCCATTCAGCCGCCGCTTAGTGGTCCCTCCGTACGCCGGACCTCACTCCACTCGATTTTTTATATGGGAATTTTCTAGCAAGTTTTTGAGCTTCAACTGATAATAAGACTAGTTCCTGGCGGCTTTAAAACATTACTGATTTGTTAAGAAATGTTTTAAATTTAATAGTTATTATCTGTGTTTAAAAAATAACGGTCTAATAATCATTTAGTTTATGAATTAACATCTGGCTTCATTATCATGTCAGCGCTTTCTATACCAAAATATTACCCAAAGTGTCTCAAAAAGGAAATTATGAAACCTTTATACAAAAGCGGAAACAGAGACAAAATCGCTAATTATAGCCCAATATCCATGCTATCTATCAGTGTAAAATATTGACGAGCTTTATAAAATCCGAAATAATTGCATTTTTACATTTCTAAATAAATATACCAAACTTTCAGACTTGCAGTATAGAGTTAGGATGGTCCACGCAAGATGCTATCAGAGAACGATGCGTCAATATAAAAGACGTAAATATTGATGCGAGAGTGGTACAATATGGCGTGCCGCGTTCTTGGTCCAATATTATTTACATTATATACGAATCATATGTTATAACTTGAAACAAACAGTACCATAATTTGTTATACAGATTGTAAGATGCTACTATGTAAGGCTCAGATTTGTGGAGAAATTCAAATATCAGAAAAAGCGCACCTACTCAAAAGACAATGTTCCTATAAATATTATAGACCCAGACTTTAAAACATGCAACCAGAACATATATAAGAAACTAAAAATGTTAAACCTTTTAATTAATTTTAATAATTTAATTTAATTAATTAATTAATTAAATTAATTTAATTAATTTATTTATTTAATAAATATGACCTTTATCTCCTTGACAACAGCACAAAACATAAAAACCAAATCGACCAATTTAGCTTTTTTGGCGTATCTTCGAAAGTGGTGGAAAGTTTTCAGTTTTCTCAACAACACGTTATTAACCTTGTAATTTTTCAACTTTTATCTTATTTAACCATCTTCGTATCTCTTATGGTTTCCTTATCTTAGACACACTGCATACCTACGTACCGAATTCTCGATTTTGCCAATAACTTAAGAGAAATACACCAACTGCAATAGTATTTTCTCAAACTGTTAATGACAACCTTTTGGCTCCCAAATTAATATCAACCCGTACCGTTTATCTTAATGCCATGATCAACGTTGAATGGGCGGTCGACACGGATTTCTCTTCCAACGGGCGACCCGAAGGACGGCCGAATTTCCAAAGGGCTAATTTCGTGAAACGTGAACCCTGTGATTGTTCCTTATCATTCCCATTTACATAATACTACGATGCATCTTCCCGTACACGTGCGTTGCACATAAAATACACCCGAAACGCTTATCGCGACATTTATCTTGGTCCTCGTGGTCATCGGATAGACTTTTCGTTACCGTACGGGTAGGCTTGATAATGAGCATTGTCTCTTAATATATTATTTTCGCTATTTAAAAGATGTCGCCCGACGTGCACGTGAGTTTTCGGGCAATCCTTCAACTTAATTAAGGGTCGAGGTAGTATTTTTAACTTGAACGAAGTGGTACAGGGTCGAAGAATATGCTGAAAAGCCTAGAGTTATAATATGGAAACGTCGAGTAACATATCAAAGGCCAGCAAACGAAATGATAGCTATGGTGCTTATGGACGAGCTGTGATAGTGATTACGAAGTGATTTTTTTCTGGTGCTAATACTTGTTGGGCAACATAACGCTATTTTTAACTAAAGAAACTGAAGAAAACTCCTGAGGGTTATTAATTGTGGTGTTTATATTGCCTTACAAGACGTGACAAAACTCCTAAGGGTATAAATTACAATGTGTTATATCGAATGTCTTTGTGGTACCCTATAAAAAAATGGTGCTCATAGACTAATCTTGGTAGGTATAGTTCAGTTACGTAAGGGTACCAAGGCGAGTGAGGTTATTCTCTGCTATAATTTATATGGTGTTCAATTTCACCGATATGTTCGAACAAGTTTGTGTAGTGCAATCGTATATTTCTCTAGTCAGTTGTCAAACAAAATTTTACTCATGGTGGCTATGGTTCAACTGTGAAAGAGTGCCAAGGAGCGCGGCTCCTTTCGAAGTGGTTTTCTGCTCTAATTTCAAGCCATTAATGCTAGCGTAACTAACCAACATAACAATATCCTAGAGAGGACAAAACTCCTCCTCCTACCATATATTTTTGTAGTCAGGAACTGAACAAAACTGTACTAATAAACAAGTCTTCCCAGGTTCAGCAGTGAAAGAGTACCAACGACTTTGATTCATTTTGAAGTAATTCTTTGCTGGGGTGTTTATATTTCGCAGTTAGCCAATACAATGATATTCTATTCTTAAGAGATTGAGCAAAATTCTTGAGAGTTTAAATGAGTTAATTGTCAGGACATATTATAACATGTTTTGTAGCCTTTAAATTACTCATTTTAGCCTTGTAATATTGTATCGTATGTTTTTGTGGTCCGTTATCAAAAAAATTGTGCTCATAAACCACTCTGGGCGGGCGTGGTTCAGTGACGAAAAGGTAAGAAGGAGCTGGATTCATTAGGAGTTGATTCACTGTTAGAAGCTATCAATTCTGGTGTTTATATTTTCTAGCTGATCAATGCAATGCTGCAGATTGTAGTCGTGGTGAGATGGTTCAACTGTACATGCTGACGTGTATACTTCGTCGCTAGGCAATATCGTAGAGAGGCCCGACAAAACTCATGAGGGTATAAATCTTATAATTGGTGACATATATTCGAATATGCTTTTGCAGATTTTAAATCGCTTATCTTCATTTTAGCCTAATTAATTTTTGTCCACTTTTATCATATGGCTACACAAACTGTACTCGTAAACAAGCCCTTCTAGGCATATCTCAACAGTGAAAGGGTACCAGCAACCGAGACAATTTAAAAAAGATATTATTTGCTGATGCAATGATATTGTATAGAGAAGTGATATATCTGCTCGAACCGTTGTGTCAACAAAAAATAAAGGCAATGGAATTTCAGTCACTTAGTATTCCTATATGTTTTTTTAGTTATTACACAAAATTGAACTCATGAACAAGTGTCTGGTGAGTATGGGTCAATAGTGAAAAAGTGAAGTAATTTTTTGCTGTGATTTGAAGCCATTGATTCCATTATCTATATTCCTTAGATAGCCCAATGCAATACTTAATCCTTAAATAAGATAATTCGTCAGGTATATTCGAATAAGCTTTTGTAATCTTTAAGCTGATTATCCCTATTCTGGATTAATTTTGTTTTGTCGCCTTTTATTGTATGTTTTTCTTATACAATACCAAACCATCCAGTGTCCTTGGTAACATTAAAAATGTGAATGTTGGTTTGTTCCCGTTAGGTATGGATATGCACTTTGCTCTCGATGAAATGATATATCTATTTGCGACTTCATTCTTGGCTTGCATTTTCACTAAAAATGAACATTGATTTTATGGCGAATACCTTTGACGTACCATGACCTTATCAGAAAGTGTATACTGACAAAATTAACCGACTTATATTCCTAAGATACCCTAAGCTTGTATTGTGTATTGTTTGCCATTTAAATCTCTACCGAAATGAATTTTTTATTTCAGTTGTAAACTGGGTTTTGGGGACTTTATTACATTTTTACGATATTTACATGTTTATCTACAATTTAAAATTCGTTTCAGTCTTTACAACGCAGATCATCCATTTTGCTTTTAGATAATATAGGAATAAACAAATAAACAGCGATATTTACGATATTTCATTCGCCGTGATTTGAAAAACTTATGCAGACTCGTATTGAATATCTTTTCTCACTTCATCCATCATAATTTATTCTTGCGCATTTCTTGCCTCAAACAGAAAATATACAGGTTGTCAAAACCCTATACTGAAAAACTGAAAGAAAATTGATAGAAACAGGGAGGTCGACGGCCGGGTCATCCAAAATCTAACGAGAACATAAACATTTTATTATAAGGTAAGGATAATCTCCATCGTGCCTTTTTTGAAATAATTTCAAATAATTATGTTAACATTGGATTGGGAGAATGGGATCAATAGAATATCCTGCAAAATCTCCAGATATTACTACACTCTACACTTCAAAAGTGTATCAGGATAAAAGACAAAATTTAGATGGTTCAAAATCATGAATTAGATACGAAATAAGGCAAATTCATGAAAATATCATCCGTGATGTTTTGGAAGTGTTTTTAAGCCAATTAGCATATTGTCAAAGTTAACATTTGGCATTTTCATTTGACATGACTTGTTTTTATAAATTTTACTCACTGCCAATCTTGTAATCTCGAGTTAAATGAATTATAGACTTTTTCTTGAGTTCTCCACATATTCGATTAAAAGTAAAAATTTAAATTCTAAAAAAAATACTATACTAAAATTTTTTTTATCGGAAGAAATTTAAACAATTCAATTTACTGGTACTAGCTGCTTACTTCTTCATTTCAAAATTAAATTTTTGATTTTTACTGGATCGGTCATTAAAAGGAAGTCATCGCGTTTTTGACCCTCCTTGATTACTTTCTATTTACTGCAAAAAAATTGCATGAAGGTGTGAGAGTATTTTTCTTGAAATTATGAAATAACAAACACATCTACCTAGCTAAAAGCTCCTGGATTTCCGCTAAAGTTTTTCCCCTAGTTTCGGGAACAATAAAATAGACGAATACCAAGCCGACCATACAGAATCCGCTGAAAATACAAAACGTGGAAGCCATGCTTAAATACGCGCTTATTATGGGGAACATAAAGGTAATGGCGCAAGCTGCCACGAAGCTGAGCGTGGTTGCCAGCGCAGACGCCGTCGATCTGACGTTAGATGGAAAAATCTCACTCATAACTGTAAGAGAAACCGGACCCACGCCCAAATTAAAGCTGATGAAGTATAGCAACAAGCAAGTCGTAGGTAACCACCAAAAGTATACGGTCACGTCACCGGAATCGTTACCGGCGTGGAGCGAGAAAAAGAGTCCCATTGTTACGAGTGCAATTATCATCCCTACGCACGACATCATAAGCAGGAATCTCCGCCCCAGACGTTCGATGATTGCCGATGTCACAAAAACTGTGAGGAACTTGACACTGCCAACCAATATGCTAGCATATTTGGAAGGTATGGTGCTGCCCGCACTATCTAGAATGCTATGAAGGAAACCGACCAGTGCGGATATTCCGGTCAGCTGAGTAACAACCACCAATCCCACCCCCACCAGTAGCGCTCTTCTGAGGTCTTTGGCAGCCAAAAGATGGATATAGCCAGTGTTCTCGTCCTTGTTACCCGCGACGAATTGACGAATCTCCGAAAGTTCCTTGCGGACGTCCGAATTGTCTCTTAGCTTTATTAGTACGTTCTCCGCCTCCGATAAATCTCCATTTCTAATTAAATATAACGGAGAGTCTGGAACGAATATGGGAGACAAAGCGAGAAACAGCAGGAGCGGAGCGACGCAGCTCAGCGAAAACACTTTGACGTTTAGAAACGGTCCGATGGCGTAAGGATAAAGGACTCCGAACGAAAGGAAAAGGCTGTAGGCGCAGCTTAATTTGCCCCGATTGTGTTGCTCGCTAATTTCCGCCAGGTACATGGTGACGACCGAGAAGCAGCCTCCTATACCAATGCCATGGAGCAATCTGCAAAGTAGATAATGTTTAAATAAATATATTTTTCATAACCAATCAAATTTTTGAAATTGTTGGGCACTATACGTTTCAACGGTCATTAGCGTTTGATTATTTCATTTTTACGTGTGTGAACGCTGTGGTCGATGTATTAGACGTCCCAATTGGCTAGAGGCTTCGGGAGTGATCTAGTGTTTCGATAGAGTTGAATGACATTCGTTGTCATTACGGTTGCAGTTTGCAGGTCATGGTGCTACTATTTTGGTGAAATGAAATCCCATCAACATAAATCTCTTTTTCCATTGCATTTCTGAGCTGCTGCTGAGTAGCTGGTTTCTAGATTTTGTTTTATTTTTTAATTTATCACATAAAGTTGGATAGTTTTTGTTCTAATTGATTATTTTAAAGAGTTGGCTATGACTGAAACAAAAAAACGCCTTGTGTGTGGAATTGCTAATGATACAAAAAGTATTGAATATTGCTTCGGTAATTTTATTAACGAATTTAATTAGTTAATTAAGTTGTTCTAACTATTCTGACTGTCAACGAAGACTTTCGAAATGTTGAAAAATATGTTTCGTGCTGTATCGTGAAAATAGAGATGAAGCATCTGAACTGCATTTGCATAATGGACATAAAAATTATATATATAACAATGAATAAAGGATAAAGTATGTTTCACTTCTATATAACTTTGAAAAATGTTTTTGCGGCAGTAACAGAGTTACAGAGTTACAGAGTTACAGAGACATTAATTCTTCTAATCATTGGATTGGCCCACCCGGTCCCATAAGACAGCCACCCAAGTCTCCGACTTACCAATACTTGATGATTTCTTATGAGGCTATCTTCAAAATCAAATTTACAAAAATCAGCATCATACAATACGTGAAATGCCACTAAAAGGGAATTAAGAAATGTGCAAGCCAGGCCCCTAATATAACTTAATATGTTTAGACTAATTTTTTTTCTAGGAAATCCATTTTTTACGCTAATAAAAATTTAAACTAATTTTGCCAGAAGAAAATAGATAACACGGATAAAAATACTTCTTGAATACATTTTTTAAGTTGAACTTGTAATTTAGTACTAGATAGTAATCAATATTAATGAACTAAAATTAAATAATTTTTGAATATATAAAATTATGGTGTAATATAGTTATTCAATTAAATATTTAATAATAATAATAATAATTGGTTTGAATTTCATGATGAAAGCCCTTAATAGATGTAATACAATGTCGCAAAATTACACAGGGTGTCCCATTTAAAAATTCACAACCTTATGTCGTTAATTAAAAAAAAAGTGCCCCTCCATAGAAGTCTATTTGATAGCTTAAATATTAACTGAAATACCAGGGGTGCCAGAAACGCCATGGGATATGAAAATTCTGTTGACAGCTTTCGTGTCACATAAAAAGTAGCACCATGATCCACAAACTGCAGGGCTCCAGATTTTTATAACATACATACACACTGTGCAGTATATATGCAACAAGTTGACAAACTTCCTTGGTCACTTGTTTATTACGATTGTTATCAAACTTTCAGCAATGAAGCTTTAGCAAGAGGTTGTCAAATAGAGAAACAAATAACTTTGAAACTCTCAGAAACTGTCAGACTAGAGTTTGTTGTCAAAACCTTCAGCGCCATATAAAGAATGGTGTCCCAACTTAACACCTTTTGATGAAGAAATACTTTACTTTGCTTAGTATGGTGCTGACATCTACTATATAACATAATATTGATCAAGATCTGGTAAATATTTAAATTTAACTTTAATCTACATCGTTCAACATGTTATTAAGAAAGTGCATAACGATGACAAAGCTGGATTACCTGCGTCTGACAAATTTACGATTTTGATATTTTCATTGCAATTGAATTCGTTGTATTTTCTGTTTAGTAAAAAAATTAATTATTCTTTCTTATCTGTTCAAAATTTATCTGGAAAATGTTATAAACACAATAGTATCACACATAAACTATTTTGCGGATGAACAAGTTGTAGTGGCCCAGGATAAAGAAGACGTAGAGTTTATGACAAGGAGGCCATTTGATGAATATACAACATGGGGACTGACTGTAAACTGTAATAAAAAAAATGCATGTGTGTGGGCGGAAAGGAACAGGATCTGGAAACTGCGAAGACCAAATAGTGAAGGCGAAAAGAGTCATAGGAAAAGAGGAAGAGCTAAGATCTAAGCTAAGGCTAAACGGAATACACACAACCATATCAGAAAGGAACCTACAACCAGGAGACTGGGAAGGAGTGGAAATTGGGAACCGGAAGACGTAGGACGCTATAGAACCGGACATATTCATATATAAAAATAAAATTGTTCATATTATACTGTTTGTTAGTATCCTTATTAATATATTTCTTATTACCACATTATTTAATTGGTAAAACATGTATGTTAAAAGTCTATTTTGATTTTTGCAAATTGATATTGATTTTCTAAGCATGATTGTAATTATCACAAATTTAATTTTTTCTTCATAGGAACAAACAAGACAAAGGTGGTATTAATATTATTATTAAAAATCTTTTTCTTTTTTATAACGTTTTAATAACTGAAATGCATTTATTGTATAAGTTGGGTTTTGTCATTAAAGATTGGTTCCACAATCATAGTTTTATTTATTTATTCTTTTTTAAATAATAAATAAATGTTTCATAAAAATGTGGAATATAAATTGGACAGAGATTTAAAAAAATATTTTTTTAGAACTTTGAAACAATTGCCGAAGCATGATAATAACACATACGGTAAAGAAAGTCGTGAAATATCCAAAATATTTACCAAGATTATTGTTTATTCGCGCCAGGGCATTTTTAATAAGTAACAGAATTAGTATCGTAGTTTAACAATGCCGGATTAGCGTCGCATTTAATGGTTGTGTTTATATACTGCAACATTGATAACATTTTCAGGAATTGAATAACGCGATGAAAACACAATAGCAATAGACATGATGACGGTCCCTTTTTAACTTACCTTGCTGCGTAGTACAATCTAACATCGGTTGCGAATGCCAAGATGATCAGTCCAATACCCATAGGTATCGAAATTACAATCAACGTAATCTTTCGTCCGATTTTGTCAGCCAAATAACCGAAAATGAACGGCCCGATAATCTCTCCGATGTTCAGTAGAGCCATGATCCAGCTCTTTTGCAAAATTTCAATTCGGGAGTTTAAAGGGGTTTGAGGAGATTCCAGTTTTGGAAATACCGGCGAAGTCCAGGACAGTCCTATACCAGCGACGAATGATATCAAATTTGCTGCACAGAAAAGAAGAACATTGACTATTAGTTCTATTTACAGTGGACGGATTCCTCCAATGGACTCCCATTCTACTATGTACCGGGTGGTCCAAATTCGAGGGGCCTCTATGGCTTTAAGCATTTGCAGCATAGTTAACCCAAAACTAATATCCATGAGAAAAGTCAGAAACTGAAAACCGCATCGTGATATGTCAAGGCGTTTTTGAGCTACAGGGTGATTCTGAAAAGTGTTCGATTTTAAAGACCCTCTGTAACTTTTTTAATTGTAAGAATAGACTTTTTTATTTTTTTTTAAATTTTAATTAAATTTTTTTTAAGCGGGAATCTCTATATATTACCCGTTTTGTCTTAGAGCCTTTAGTTACCGAGATATCACACGAAGTTATATCTCTTGATATGGGATATCCCCAAATTTTCAAAAAAAATAGTTTGCGAGATGTGCCATACACCTAGTTTTATTAAATAGTTTAAAAGATATTTGCAATTTTTAATATGTACCATAGGCCGCGCTGTGCGCTCCCTAAACGTGTAGATAAAAATTTATTGTTTTTGTTTTTCATACAAAATTTGGCCACGATACAAAGTTGGCTAAGACACGAGGGTACACAGCAACCTCGCACTTTAATTTCTAGTTTATAATAAGTACCAACCCGAAAAATAATAATCGTAAATAAAATTATTAAAAGAAATTTTTTTATTTAAAGTTTGTATTAATTAAACTATGTAACACTTAAAATCTATATCTAACAAGTTTCGTTAATTCTAAAACATATGCTCAAATTGACGGCCGTTTTCTTGTAGACATATCGCACATCTTCTCTTGACGCTATTTTCTGCATTAAGAAGTTCTACCGCAGAAGCTGCCTGAATGCAGTACCAATTCCCTTGTAGTGGTTGGGCGGTCTCGAAATACAAGGTTTTTGATTCTCCCCCACAAAAAGAAGTCACAAGGGGTCAGGTCTGGAGACCTTTATTTCCAATCCAGTTTTCGGAAAACACATTATTTAGCAAATTAGTAATGTGTCGTGCATTATGAGGAGGTGCACCGTCACGTTGAAAGTATAGCTCACTATTTTGCTGAAGTGGCAAATTGTCGATAAACGGAATTACCTGCTCTTCAAGAATTTTTTGGTATCTTTCGGCATTTAAATTTCCATCAAAGATATAATGCCCAATAATTTGTCTTTTGTAGATGCCTACCCATACTAACCAAAACTGAACCTTCCCTGATTTGCTTGTTCTTGTGTATACCTGGTGAATATTCCATCACTAGAAATCGTTGCATCATCCGTCCAAATAACTTTGCAGCCGTCGGGGTAGATAGGGCCTAAACTTTTTCAAGTACCCCCACGGCTTCGTGGAATTCCAGTGTTTCTCTCCATGGTGGAAGTATTCGGGCTAATTTCTATTTCTCCCAGAACCGTTAGTTCTTCCAACTCTCTATCTCTGGCTAGGTTTCTATACGTCCTAGTCCGCGGTTTTGTAAAGGATCCGTATTGTTTTAGATGACGTTTAAACTTAAAAAATCTTTTTGAGCTAGGTTGCTTTCTTTCCGGATATCTCTCGAAATATGGATTTAACGCCGTTTATTTCAGTATATATAACATTTTATCATCATAGCTTGACGAAGACGCCACTTTTGACACATGTATCATGGCAATTGTTTTCATCTGATCATAGCTGTCTAGATAGAAACCGTAAAACTACATAGGTCAGAGTTAAGCACAGCCTACTATAGTAATTATTAAAAATTGCAGATATCTTTTTAACTACTTAACTACTTAATAAAAATATCATTTGACAGGAAATTTTATTGGAGAACTAATTTTTGTAAAAAAATTGGGGTATTCCGTTTAAAAAAATGTAACTTTGCATTATCGTGAACTAAAGGCTTTAAGACAAAATCGGTGAAACGGATAGATTTGCCCGTGAAAAATCTTCAAAAAATGTTTTTAATAAAAATCTCTATTTTTACAAATAAAACAGTTATAGAAGGTTTTTAGAAACGCACATTTTTAAGAATCACCCTGTAGTTCGTTTCTTAAAAATTTGACATATTATGATTTACGACTTCTCTCGAAAATCGAGTCAGTATTATGCATATTAGTTTTTGGGCTACTGGGTATTTGGACCAGCCAAGTACAGTTTGAGGGGGCGGAGGTAAAGGTGGAGCATGTACATTGCCTCGGATGACTCGATTTCTATGGATTCTCGTATTTTTCTTTGGATTTGTTAAGAACTTTTGATGTGTGGTCAGTGATGTATCAAGAATGGGAAGACCCCGGTGGCAAGCGTGGGGTTCCTGTAGGACGTATTTTCTTTTAAATATTTTGGTGAATTGTATATTGTGATAGAATGCTTAATATCTCTAATGCGGAAACTAATAAAGAGAATAATAGATGTTAAAGTTCAGCCACTCCGGTTGAGATATTTTTACGACTTTGTAAACAAGAGAGTTGATAACCGATGATTTTTGAGCGGGATGGTGATGTGACATTAAGGTGTCGGTGGTGTTTAGATTTTCTGTAAATATAATGAACCAATGTTAGATCTGATTTTCTATTATTATTATCAGTTTCCAAATCGATGGTTGTTAGGGTGTATAGAGTCTAAATAGCAATGAAAATCTCGGAAGAATTCTTGGCCATGAGGCCAAGTAACAAAATTATCATCAATATAGCGTTTCTTCTTCTCAAATACTTCCATAAAAATATTCGCAACGACCCGTGATAATGGGGAACCCATAGCTGTTCCCAACGTTTATTCATAAACTTAACCGTTACAAGAAAAATATATTCCAGACAAGAATTTTTCAATTAGGATGAGAATTTTCGGTTCCAGATTCTTAGACGTCTGAAATAAATAATGGTCAGAATTTCAAGAATAGGGATTTTAGTATGGAGTCACTTTTTCCTGTATAGGAGTTTAATTAGATGTTTGATATTTTGCTAGAGCATATGTTGGAGAACCAATGGTGCTGGATTTTCAATCTTAGGGAGACCGTAGAGACGAGGAATTTTAGAGTCATGAGGGGTGACAGACTTTTTCGCGAACTCTGATAGAAAAGAAGCCTTAATAACAAATTTATGGTCGCGTTCCATAGTTGAAGATATCTTGAAATATTTCCTGCTATTTACTTGTTTGGAGTTTTTATTAAGGATTTTTGAGGTTTCAAATTGAATTTCCTTATCTATTTGAGATGGCAGTTTGTTTGTTTGTTTAGGATAGACCCGACATTTGAAATGATTTCATTTTTTCGTATAATTCATGGTCCAAGAATGCAGTTGGAAACTTTTGCAAAAACTCATTTTTCCGTCTTAGAAAGTTGGTGCGATTGTTAATTATGAAGTTGAGAAATCTTTCATGGTTTCGCAAATCTTGACGTTAGTGTCTCAAATTTTTAAATGTGGAGTAGAAGATTTTCAGCATTGTTATCCTGCTTGAAAGGGTATCGAACATGGGTGGGGAGAAAATGAAAGCACTTTCAAGATGTAGAGTAAAGTAAAACTACATTTGCGAAGATATTTCCGGACTAGCAGATTACGTTTGGATTTGATGGGATATTTTATTGCGAACGTTATTGTCTCTACAACGTTACAAAGTGTACTGAGTAATCTTGCCAGTTTGAGTCGGTGACCTTTCTGATTTTGCGCTTGATGTCATTTCCATAAATGGTTGTTAATTTTTTAAAGACACTTACGGTAAAGACTTGAAACGTTGGCTACTTATGTAGCTAGCTATGTAAAATATTTTGAGCCATGCGGTGTTGCCAGATATATTCGTAATGTATATCAACTTTGGTTTTTTTAAAAGGAACAACTTGTATATTATGATGCGAAACATTCTTGAATATTTTTATGTAACATGAACATTTTCGGAGATAAAAAATACTTATTAAGAAATTTCTCAACACACAACCCGATATAAAATAATAATTTATTTCGCAACCCGTTCATCTAAATACTCGAATTTTTCGTTACAATTCCCTATTAAATTGCTTTATCATAAAATGGTACGAAAATTAAGTTACCGCTTACAGGGCGCTCATAAGATAAGACCCAATTGACAAGGTATAAAAATCCATGTCTGGTGGGAATTTTAAATGGTTTAAAAGTAACAAACTATGATATATCTGGCAACACCGCATGGCCAAAAATTTTATTTAGATAGCTCATATTCGCTTACATAAGTAGGCAAGATTTCAACTTTATTGGTGATTCAAAATTTCCGGAAAAATTGGTTGTAGGAAAAAAAACAGGTTTTTTCCCCGAAAAATTGGAAAAAAACGGAAAATTTGGGAAAAATTGAATTTTTGTTGGAAACGAAATCCAAAAAAAGCATTTTGATATCCAGATAGGTTTACGAATTAAATATTATTCAATACAATTATTTTCAAACATATTTTAAAAAATAAGTGCGGTGTAATGGTATTCCCGCAAATACTGTTGGCCTGTCCTGCCTGACTAGAGAAAACCTATTAAAATATGTAAAGGAGGGCTTGGAATTTTGCTGTAAACCTATTCATTTTGAGCAAATCTTCTTGATTCCCGGATTGAGCATTAAATGAAGACCAAGTAATAGTGGCAATTGATTTTATTTCGCAAATATCTCAAATATCACGTTTAAATACAAGAGAAATAATGGCAAATTTAGCCCACTTCAGAACTGAAACGGGATTTTTTAGTAAGAATTCTCTATGGGAATCTGCGACCAGTACCCATCCAGTTATATGATGGCAGGGGTTGTGTACCTCGCAGCCACTTATGCCAAATGCTTCCAGAATTTTAAATGGACCGCCATCGTCCGCTTCGTCAGAAAGAAACTGGTCTTTGCATGGTGTTATTCATACTAAAAAAAGAAATAGACTGACACAAGATAAGGTACAAAAACTTGTTGCGATTCAGTCTACCTTAAATTTAGAAGAAAACAACAAATTTGCCTACGATTCTAGGCCATGCTGCGGAATCAGAACCAGATTCCTTCTCCGAAGACTCGGACCTTGACGATGAAACCCCAAAGTGTACTGGTTTTGCAGAAATGACGTTTTTTTACTTGCAATTTGTCAGTTCTTCTTCTTTTTTTTTGTATTGATTTTTTTTATTTATTATGTATTCTAGAGTTTATGTTTTGTTAACCAAAGAGTTCTTATTTTATTTTTTTATTATTTTGAAATAAAGTAGGCATCTTAATTTTTGTTTTTTTTTTTATTGAAGCAACTTATACTAACCAATACACATTTAGATCATAATATATTAATTCGTTTAGCTGTCTGGCATTTAATTTTAAAAAAGTTAAATTTTCCGTTTTTTTCCAATTTTTCCGAGGTCTGGGAAAAAAAACGTGTTTTTTCCAAATTTTCCGGTTTTTTTCCGAACCGTTAAATCTCTAAACATCTAAAAGGACACACACAGTGAACAACCCTGTATAAGCAGGTACTGTTAAGTTCTGAAGAAGCCAAGAAGATGATTTTCCTAACGTCAGTTTGATTCATCAATAACCGATACAGGAGGAATATAGAAGATTTGTAGCTAATAAGTTTTATGACCATAAAAGTTTCAAAAATAATATGATTAATGATAGTACCTCACAAGCATGGTAGTTTTCATACACTAGGAATGGTGTTTGGTAAATTCCACTTAAACCTAATTCATTATCGGTCTTACCAAGAAACGCTGTAAAATATAGAAACCAGGGGTCACGAGGGACAGCCTCCTTTTCTGGACTTAAGTAACCATCATTTCTTGTTGTCGGCCTGTAGACGATTCCCTTTTCGAAAGTTTCTGCGTCAAGGTTTTTTTCCCCCAACGATTCGTTTTCGTAATTTGCCGCCACCATTTTGCTTAAAAATCTAGGTTTCGCATTCGGTTCGGCCGTGCCGTTACTCTCTGACTAGCCGAAAATTCGGAAAACAACTGCATATTTAGAATTAAATTTATAGTCTTTGCGCAAATATTAGCGTCTTATTTTTTCTTATCATTGTTTGTCAAACACGGCGTTATAAAAATTATGGGACAAAAAATACAATTCACGAAACGATCGTCAATCTGTTGTACCGGGAAAACTATTTGCGTGATAATTTTGATTTTGTATGCGCAAAGTGTAATTTTACGACATCAGCTTTGTTAAACACTGCGACGAGCGTACTTTGGTCACGGGTTTGATAGAGTTTCGATGTTTCTACCCTCTTTTCGCATTGCTCGCGTCACTAAGCCAGAATTATTATTTTTAAATTTTAAATAAATTATGGAAGGTAACCTAAACTTTTATAATAACCTGTTACATTAATAAATATTAGCGATTTCCAATGATATCGTTTCAAATATTTCGCGCACCTTGTAGAATGGACGAAACCGGAAACTGTTTTATAGTTTTTCAGTTACCCATTAAAATGGCAAATTTCAGGATCGTTTTGTTGACACACCCTGTACATAATCCAAAAAATGCCCTAAGTAAAAGTTATAACCCTGGATTTAGTGGTATATGAACTTTTCCTAGAGAGTAAACGGTTTTCGGAAAAATACTTCTTTTCTAAAACCATGCTACACTGTAATAATAAATCGCGTCTAGATCGAGTGCGAGATATAGAGATTGTCACTTGGACTTTTTCAAATATCTGGAGAAGCGTGTGTGATAGACGAAAACCGTAAATACAAAAATTGTAGGCTTCGATGTGGTCTTTATTACTATGCAAACCAAAAAACCAACTTTGTTAGTAATTTTGATTTACGGCTAATAATTTAATGCTGGAAGGCACAATTTTCAGCATCGTTATATTTTTGTCTATAATGAAAGACCCCTGTATATAATAGAAAAAATGCTATAAATAAAAGGTATGATCTCAGATCCCATGCAATTTTCCGATAGGGATAACAGTTTTCTAGAAAATAAGCTTTTTCTGGAAGCCAAAATATCCCAAAATTTTTTTTCGAAATTTAAAAAAAAATACGTCTCGATTTTAACAGTTGAAATATGGGTGTGAACTTCTACCTTTCTACCAAAGCTGAAGTCGATAGCTGCAAATTGAAGACACTTGGCAATTTTTCAATATAGCACGGAATATCTTGAACACCCTATACAATAGGTGAAAACCTTAAATAAATAAAAGTTTTAGCTGTTTATGCGGGCTATATTGTCATGTAAAAGAAACTATCAGTCTTTTAGTTATAGTCATTTCTCATTAATAGGGGAACCCATTTTTCAGTTATTTTGAATATGCGGGACACCTTGTATATTTTTAAAAAATTGTCCATAATAGGAGTTCATGCAGCCGAGTCTTCTGTGCCTTCTCGTTCAAGATTTTTTCGGTCTCACAAACGGTTTTCGGTAAACGATTTTTTTTTTACTTGTTCATGCGCGGTTTTTAATGCATTTAAAATACTTCCCGACCCCCTAGTCCCCCCAATTCCACCAAGTTCAGTTTCGTGTTTCAAAGCAACGTCCAAAAAACAGTCGAAAATCGAAAAAGAAAGATGGAAAGTGAACATCGACTGCTGCAATTTTCACATATCTTGTTCATCCCATGGACTGTTTAAAAGGAACGAAATTTGAAGTGTCTAGCTCAAATCGTTCGAAAGCTATAGTCGAAACACCGTGAAACAGAGAACGGAGAAAGAAGAACGGGGAACGGACAGGCAAAAACAGAACAACTGGATTAAAATTATTTATTTATTGACAATTTAGGCTGCAAACAGAAAATGTTTTTTCATTCTTCATGAATGAATATGAAATATATTTTGGTAAGAGATAAGGAGAGTTAAGTTTACCGTTTAATACTTTGTGCATCGTTAAGACATCTGTTAGCGGTATTTTGTTTTAGAGAGCTTCTAATGTTTCATTGGCCCATTTCTACAGAGGATATATGGTAGTTCCACGTCGACCAAAGTCCGGAAATTCATGTAGTAACAGAAGTAAAGGTTAATCTTTGTTTCCGCATAAGCCAAACACGACATCTTTGCTCCAATAGTGAAGTGATCTGGTTGCAGACATGCTAGGCAAGAACACCGTATTATTCAAATAGTTAATGCAAATGATTAGAATGCTGTTTATCCGAATCTGAAAGTGGGAAAAATAATCAAACGTCATCACATCGTGTAAGTATACCAGTTAATACATACAGACTGAATAGCGTTTGCGCGAGGTATTCAATATTAGTGTTAGTTTTATGTGTAAGATGTCCAGTTATCAGCCCAATAGTCAGCCTCAGCTGATTCCTGTTGGACCCGATAAGGCTGGAAGCAAGAGTCCTGGATGGCCCCTGAAAGAGAGCTTTAATATGTCTCATACCTTCAGCTTCAAGCCACATATCGGGAAATTTATTGGTAGATCTCGGGCCAAATGGACTTTCAATGAAGCTGTCGGGTACTGGAATAGGACAAATAGGTAGTGTACTTGTGTGACAAGCTCCACTTTTTGATAGCCTATCTGTCCTCTCGTTCCACAGTGTGCTGGGACGCAGACGATTCTGACGTGATTTGCCTTAGCAAGCCTGTCAAGCATCTCAATGCAATCTCGGATCATCCTTGATTGGTGATTTCGACTGACATGAGCGACCTGAGGGCCGCATGACTGTCGCAACAGATATACATGTGTTCGTTCCTGTAATTTAGGCCGACAATATTTCGAATCGCATCCATTTCTGCTTGGAAGATTGTGGTCATGTGTCCCAGTTTTAGAGTTTTCTCTGTTCTTGTTCCATCGCACCAGTATGCTACTGCTGTTCCTTTCTGTGTCTTAAACCCATCTGTGTACCAGACGAGCCCCTTCGGTTTCAGGAAGCTTGGGGAGTTCTCTGCCCAATCCTGCCTATTTAAAAGATTATTCTGAACTTGGTTTTGAAATGGTAGCTGCTGGAGATGCGATAACCACCCAGGGTCAGAAACTGCTCCAGATCCTTGTCCATAAACCGCCTTCCTCCAAAAGCTATTAAAGTGCAGCCTCATGGCAGTTTTTTCCGCCGAGGCTTTAGCATATAGAAATGGGGGCTTAAAATTTAGTATAGCTTCTTTAGTCAGGGTGGGCGTAGTTTTCATAGCCCCTGTTATACCCATCATAGCAAGTCTATAGACTCTGTTTAATGCTTTGATATTGATTTACCCGTTCAGAGCTATCCACCACACGGTAGAAGCGTAAGTGGTTTGTGGGACCAAATTGGCAGTACATATCCATCTGACCATAATGGGCCTTAGGCCCCACGTTTGCCCAAACATTCTTGTACAAGTCCAAAAGGTGGCAGTAGCCTTCTGAACCTGTCTGTTGATGTGTGTGTTTCCGTTGAATTTGCTATCCAGAGTGGCGCCTAGATGACGCAGCTATCTGGAGAAACTTAATATTGTGTTGAATATACAGGGAGGTACCGTGAACTTTCTCCTCTTTGTGAAGAGTACCATCTCAGTCTTGTTGGGGTTAACTTTCAAGGATCTGGATGTACACCATTCATCAATAAGATCCAGAGCACGTTGCTCCTTAATTCCTTAGATTTTTTCATAGGAGTATCAGTTTTCAACAACAGCGGTCTTGGAAAGGAGCATAAAATAAGGTTGCATCAAAATACGAATACGAACCACTAAACCGAATTCTATTTTTTAAATGTCAGTCGACGCAGAATTCAGTCCTCTTTATTTTTGAATGTTAAATGTTTTAAAAGTTGAGCTGATTTAATCTTGATTTGATTCTTATGTGTACACCCAAGAATGTCTCAAGGTATTTACCAAAAAAAAAACACACAAATGCCGGCCTTAAGCAGAACAAATAACTCTCGATGCTGAACGAAGAAACTTTTTATTAAGGTGCTATTTTTGAAGCGAAAGCAAGGCAAAATGTTTCTTCCATCGGGTTTCCCCCTTTAATAATAACGACCGTTTTTAAATTTCCCCAAAACGGCGGAGTTTCTCATCTTTATTTTCTTAGAAATTGCTAAACATTTCAGACGAGTTAATCTTAATTAACCCTTCTTCACATTTCATTTCTCCCCAACGTTTACCTGCCAAAATTAAATTTGACGTGCTCGAAATTATTTCTCGGGCAGGCAGTTTTATGAAGGGGTTGCGATGTCGGAGATGTTCGTCCGTTTACCGAACGGAGTTTCTTATTAACTCTGTCGATATCAGCATTATTAAAAGTATAACCAATTTCCGTCTCTATTATTTCGCACAGAGAGGCCAATTTTATTCCTGTTGATGGGTCATTGTTTGCGATTTTATTTTCTCTTCTCTACGAAAAAAATATGCCGATCGACACCAAGGCATTAAAAAAATTTGCAGAAGAGCGTTATTTTTAGAGCAAAAAACTTTGTTCTTGGACTAAGTAAAAAAAAAGTCATATTGTCACACTTAAAAAATTTACAGGTTCGTGCATATGTCTTAAGTGTTTGAAAGTATTTATTTTAGTAATAGTATTTCTATGTATACAGGGTGTGGCGTTGTGTCAGTCCAGTAATCAACTATATATTTTTTAAATAAAAAATTCTAACTATTCTCTTGAATTTGAGTATTTTTGTGGTGACGTAGCATACGAAATTTTGAGTAGTTGTTTAGAAAATTGAACCATTTTTTTCGGGAAGAACTAGTCTTTTGGAAAATGTGTTTTTTTAACGCTTTAAAACTAAAATTGGGAATTTTTATTGTGGATGGAAGTTGTTAATATTTAATTATTTGACCTACTATGGTTAAAAGATGTTTTTCAGTGTGATCACAAATGACCATAAAAAAAACTCTTTTTTTTTTTTAATGGAGCATCCTGTATTTAACACTTTTGTTGGGTGTGGGATTTAATTCTGTATTATTTCATATATATGGCTTTTATTACCAGAATTGGTGACTTAGAAGTTATGTCCAATGGCAACTAGTGTATTTTATTTTAAATCTAAATAAACCTATATAATATTCTATTCTACGTTTTTTTTTAAACAATAATTACTTAAATTCAATATA